CTGTTCCTCTGAAACCTAGCACTAAAGAGGGTATTTGAAAGAAAGCCTGTACTTGTGAAATTTCCAGCACAGTTTCTGACAAAAGGAGTCTGGATAAGCATCTACATAATAATACAGTCTTTGCATGACTCCAACACCTTCTGTAGAAGGCTCTCAAAGCACTTTGCAAAGATTAATGAATGAAGCCTACCTAAACCCTAGTGGCATTGTTAGCTCTTTTGTACAGAAGGGATAACTGAGAATAGAGAGGTTAAGTGACTCCCTCAAGGTCACAGCAAGTCAGTCTCAGAGTCTCTGGGCTCTGATCCTGCAAACACTAAGGCAGGAGGATCTTACCATGATTCATGTAAGTAGTCCCACTGAAGTTAAGTTAAACATATGCATGTTTTCAGGACGGGGGCCATAGTCCTGTATTTTGCCAGGAGCTGGGAGTGGATGACAGGGGATGGACCACTTGATGATTACCTATTCTGTTCATTCCCTCTGAAGGACCTGGCATTGACCACAATCAGAAGACAAAATACTGGGTTAGATGGACCACTGGTCTGAGCCAGCATGGCTGTTCTTATGTAACCACTAGGCAGTGCTCCCTCTTTTGCTAATTAAACATCCATGTTGGTAGTTTAGGAAAAATTCTAATTTTTAGTCACTTTAATTTCCCCATTTTATGGATTTTGATTTAATGTAAGCAATATTTTATTTAAACACATCTACACCTGCAGATACTCTGTTTCCTCTAGATTGTCTGTAATGCTGTATGTGGGAAGCTAGACTTCTAAAAGAAACAGTGCTGTCTTTAATCACTTTAACCTTTCCAGGAACACATGGGACGTTTTAACTGGGTGTGATATTATCTAAAAACTTTTATTCTTTAAATATTGATATTATTCATAAGGTGGAATAAAATTTAATTATTTTGGTGTGTAAAGTAATAAATGACATTGTAAATGAAAATCAAATGCAGAGAGCACAGCTTCTAATATTTACTGATCAGGGAATAAACCCCATATTAATTCTTGTCTATCACTTTTTGTTATGTGGAGTGATTTGCAAAGAAGGCTTGTTCTGTTTGTTAGTTTTAAAGGTATAGGTGAAGGAGTTATTTTCCTGAACTTGAGTTTCTGAGATTATTGGGTCACAAACCTTTATTTAAAGCATTATTTTGTATTTGGTTTGGAAAATCCTAATAAAAACTTTCTTTCAATTTGACTGAAGCTGCTGTCCATTATGTAGTAATTATATAGGAGCTCATTTGAAATACAAAAGGAAGTCCAAAATAAGAATGGATACGAATTCATAAACGTAAAAGGGGGTCTTATATTTGGCCTAGAATTGCTATTGCTTTTGCCAGTAAAAATAAATAAAATCAACTGTTCTAGAAGAGGCAGCAGATCACTGTGTGTGAATCTTATTTTTTGACTTGGCAGTCTCTTTCAGCCACACTGTATTTAGACAGAATCACACATTCTGTGCATTGTACATTATAAATGCTTGAATTATTTATTGTAAACAAACTTTTTGTTGATTTTAAACATCATTATCAGTCAGTGCAGTATCATGGAAAATCATATACATGCACCAATGGTCTAAAGAGCCAGTAACAAAATAAGAGTCCATCAGTCACAGAGCTAATAAAACAGGAAGCAAATAACACAGGATAATAATCTTAGTGAGGATGACCATCGACTTCGCTACATTCATTATGAAGCAATCATATATCTTCTAGGTGTGTAACTACAACTCAGGGAGTATTCAAAGTTTGTTCTAGACAGAACATATAGACCCATGTTTCAGTTCTCCCACGGTATGTGGAAAAATTTAACTGGAATGGACTCTGCTGGTCTCTTAATATTCAATTAAATCAATTAAATTCAATTCAAGGCAAATATCTAATTGAATTCAGTAGTAATTATGCTGATGTTAAGACTGCAGTGTTGGGCTTTATAGTAGTGTTAGGAGGATCAGAATCTCTCTGTTTCTCCTCGTAGCAAGTAGCAGATAAACCTGTTTCTTAAGTGGTAAGTTCAATAACCTGAAATTCTCTACAAAAACAAATCATTCTTTTGACCTTAAAGTACATACCTTAACATATTCCCCAAAGTTTTAAAATAAATTTTCATTTATTCATTTTCAGAGATAGATAAAACCACCAATAATAGTAAATGACCCAATAATGTTTGTCAGAGCTCTATAAAATGGCCTAATTGATAGAGTATTAGAGTGGGACTTGGGAAATCTGGGTCTGTTCCTGGCTTGGTCACTCGTCTCCTGGGTGGCCTTGGGCAAGTCACTTCACCTCCCTGTACCTCAGTTTCCCCAGCTGTAAAATGGCAGTAATTATACTGATCTCCTTTAGAAAGCATTTTGAAATCTACTCATGAAAAGCACTTTGTAAAAGTGATATTATATTGTTATTTTATTACAAGCTCAAAGAAGATGTCCAGTGATCATAATTGTTCCACAGCCCTAGAAACAGAGATTTTTTTTAAATCTGTTTATAAAGAGAACGCTGTTGGAATGGTATAAAGTTGTATTTGATTAATATTTAATGGAATTAGTGTGCACACTGGAAAAATATTGTAAATGCACAGCAAATTAATTTTCATACACAAATAATAACATATCAGATTTAAAAAAAAATACAAGAGATGAGTTGGAACCAAGCTCCTAGAATTTAACACTTTAGAACTTTAGGACGTTTGAAATATGGTCCTGAATTTGCAGCTCTGATCTATCCCTAACCTGAAAATAACCAACCAATAAAATAAGTAGGATTTTTTTTTAAATTGGCCTTGTTCCATTTTTTTCTTCCTTATGATGTGTAAAGAAGGCCTGAAAGGTTATGTCTGCTTTTTTCCCCCTGCTTGTTTATTGCCTTATCAGGAATGTCAGGTTTAGTCTGAATTTTGATGGAGGATGTCTGGAGCTAGGATGTTGACTGTGAGCTCTACAATCATAATTGAACCTTTAACAAAAACATCATTTATCCAACGTGTTAATTAGCCATTGAAGTTTGATATGCTTTAATAAAAGCAAACAAAAACCAAACAGTTTTGAACAAATCCAACTTACGTTTCCTTCCCCTCTCTATTGCTTAACTTTTATCCTTGTGTACTGATACTAGTTCTCCAGTTCATGACTTTCCAGCCTAAACAGGACCTGAATGGCTGTTGTAAAACCCAAGCCAAAAAAACAAATGAAACCAAATCAAACAAAACGCTTTTCCATGTTTTCAGCCTTATATAATAAAAAGCCGAAACTCTTATTCCCCTCCCGCTCCAACACCCCCAGTCATTTTTAACCAAAAGTACATTTCAATAAGAGGAAACATTGTTATGTGAGAATTGCCAGCTATTAGCTCATGTTGAGAAATTTTGTTACGATTAGGAGAAAAATGTCCAGGTTTTGTCCTTAGTTTTGTAGCAGATTTTCAAAACAGGCTCAGATTTGTTAGCATCTAAAAGTTACATTCCAAAACAAGTTCTGAAAACATTGACACATTTTGTGTTTGGACTGGACAGAATGTATCATTTTTGTGCAGTATTGTGTCACCGTCCTCTATGCCAGGACCTTAACACAAAAAGACATTGAGTGAATAAATGTCCAAAGTGTTTGAATTGCTCCTGAGCATGTAATCTCCAAATTTCGAGTGTCAGCCTCCAGATTGTTTTCAGAAGGTTGTCAGTTTCCTTGTTAGAAGGGAAGTGAGACTACAGACTGTCAAAGGTTCTTTTCAGTTTAATGTGGGTAATGTACTCTCGCAATTTCCCTGTGGGATAAGTACTTTTAAATAAATATTCTTTGCTTTTTGTGTATTTCATTTGACTTCCTTACCAGTTATATAATGTATACTTTAGCAAAACCCTGAAAAATGTTTGGAGTTACAAGTCTTCTGTAAAGCAAATAGCTAAACTCTGGAGTGATGCAAACAAGGCACTTACCACCTGAGAGAAGTGTTAACACTTTATTTACATTTAAATTAAAATGGAAACTTATTTATGTTTTATGTTTCTGAAAGGTGTGTGTGGTACATCTGCAGAGGTCTATTGTTTATTCATGTTGTAAATCCTTTGAAATGTGTTAAAATGCTTCCCACTCATTATAAAAATCCTGCCACCCATGGATTAGGACTTTGATGTCACCAATCCTGCTTCAAAGGGTTTTTTCAATGCTATTAATCACAGTTTAGCCTCTGAAGATATAGCCAGAGAAAACATTTGGACATCTTGTGCTAGACTTGCTAAAACTTTAAAATATATGGTGTGTCTTGCATATGTATGCACAGTCCACATCACTTCCTCTCTCTTCTCTGAACCTTTATTTTGAAAAGTTATTTTGTTATTCTGCAAATAAAGCTGAAATGTTTTGGGTGATTCACACTGTACTTTTAAAAAATGTAAACATGTCATTCAATTGACTCCACAGCAGAACAGTGTGGTCTTGACCAAGGAGTACAGTCAGTCTTTAAAAATCCCAAAAGACAATATCATTCAGGATTAAGCAGGCCTGTGTGTCCAAAGATCAAAAAAAGAGATTGTTTTATCACCTCTTTCATTAGTTTGTGATTTTAGATGCCATTGACGCACATCAGGGATCAATGTGATTTCTTACTGGATAGCTTTATTTCTGCTCTTTCTCTCTCAAAACTTTGAATGATTCACTGATAAATTGATTACTAGCAACTGAGCTGTTATGCCTTTGTGCTGCTGCTTTCATCAACTCTGTACGCTACGGCCAATGACAAGCCTCCTTATCACCGACTTTTTTCCTCTTAAATCAACACTGCACCCTGGTATCTCTCTTTTGTTACCCCTACCATTGCTGAATGCTCAGTGATGTGGAGGATCTATGATTATCTGGGTTCAGCAGAAGAAGTGTGGTTATATCTGGTAGCATTCTTAGTGCTGCTACTTAGACTACTTTCTCATCTTTCAGATTTTCCCTTCTCTGAGTGAAACAGCAACTGTTCTTTCAATTTGTGTTTCCATCTCTTTTAACAGGTAACTTGGCACAGGCAAGAGCCAGAGTGACAGCAGCATCTAGGTCTTTGCCTCCACAATTTAGTGCTGGGCGCATCAAGGTTAGTAGTGTTATATTTCCTGGAGGCATTTGCAAAAGGGAAGAAATTTAAGTCAGCAAATATTATTGTGGAACTACAGACAAGATATTCAGTTGCTGTAAATCCACAATGGGCGGATTTATATCAGCTGAGAATCTGGCCCTATTTCAGAAAATATGCACCTTGATCTGGATTACTGTATCCAGTTTTGGTCACCAGCCCATTAAAAAGTCCAGCAAACACTAACAGATACGGTTAGAGAAGTGATGGAATTTATATATGACAACAGATTGAAAAGACTAAGGATGAAATCTTGGCTCCATTGAAGCCAATGTCAAAACATCCATGGACTTCAGTGGGGCCAGGATTTCACCCCAGGAGTGTATAGCCTGAAAAGGAGATTTAATTGGTTGGACTTTGGTTGGAGTATTCAACATTATGAAGGCAAAATAGAAAACTGACCCATTCCTCTGCTTTATCCTGCCTTTAAGGCAAAAACATTTGAAAGAGATGGACAATCAATGTGGAACCACTGAAAGGACATGCTTCTTAATGGAACATACAGTGGAACTATGGAATTAGTTGCTGCTAGATTTCATCAAGTAAATACTGTGGCAAGATTCTAAAAGGATGTGATAATTTTCTGACCATTAATAAAATTTGTTACACCAAGCTCAGGCAATAAGGGAGAGAACTCTATGCATCAGGTTGATAGTATTAAGAATTCAGGCAGTTATTCCTGGTCCTTCCCTATATATTCTATCAGTCTGCTGGTGAGGTATATTACTGTTTGGGTTTTGTTTGCTTATTTTTTGTCTATGCCTACAATGCATATTATTAATAAACAGTGGTAATAACAACGACCATCCTTCCAGGCTTGTTTTGTTTTGATCCCCCCCGGGCCTTTTATGGCCATTCATATATCTTCCTGGAGCTGGTACGCTTCACTATACCTGCAAATATAGACTCAGATTTCAGAGATTTATTCTCTCACTGGTATAAACTTGTTTAGTGCTGAAGGGAAGACAATACCCTATCGGATTTCCTTGCAAGATAGCACTTATACCCACATTGTCTTTCCAGTTTCAGCTCCAACCACTGTTAGTCATCTCTGTATACATTTTACTGATTCTGCGTGGGTGGATCAGAGCAACTTTGTCTTGGCAGCTTTAGCAAAAGCATTCAGTTAAACTAAATAATATTTAAACTATTTATCCTTGAATTGGATTAAAAAAAAAAAAGAACCTACCGAAAGGGATGCTGGCCCATGTGACTGAAATAATTTAAAGCCAGTTCTTAGTCCATGCAACTATTCGAGAAATGCATTTACAGCTCCATTGAAAGAAGAAGAATCTATGGGTGCTGTTTTTTGTTTTTATTTTTTTCTGTTTAGGTGAATAGTCTGTTTCACTTCCAACACTAGGGCCTTGTCTACATGGGAAAGTTTTACCAGTTTTTATGATATAGTTTTACTGCTATCCCCACCACCAGCAGCAGCCTTGTGGACAGTCTTAGTTCAGTGTAAGAGGATTTTTTTAGTTTAACTTCCCAAGTGACGTAAGCTAAACGGAAAAAAACTACTCTTATACTGTAATAAGGGTGTCTGAACAATGGACTGACTATGTTGGCTTAAATTCACACCTTAGTTTATACTAAAAAAATGTTCCCATATAGACAAGACCTTAAATAAACTTCACACCTGCCCTTTCCTGAGGCACTGCAGACCTTGGCCCTGATTATCATTTATAGTCAGTGTGTAAAGTGCCCTTCAGGGGGTGTAAATGTAACTTTAAGGTGTTTTTACATTGCCAGAGCAGTATAAAGAAGCACTTCTTCTTAGTGTAAACGAGAATCTGGCCCAATGTGTCTGTCTACCTGCTTATACTTGCACCTTTGGACTCAGCACACCCTGTTGGGCATTCAAGATGGATTCTTTAGAAATAAAAATGACTGTAGGAACAGAAGCCCGTTTGTTGTACTGACCTTTATGGTACCTCACTATTGAGAGGCGCTTTGCATCCTTACACCTCTCAGAGGTAACACTAATTGTAGTAGCAACTTTTCCCTATCCCCTTTGCCTAAACAGCCAGAGCTCAATAGTGTGGCCCTGTCTCCTATGTGACCTTAGTCTGTAGTTCAGATAGGAAGCTCAAAATAGTTGCCTGGCCAAAATAGTTCTAAAACTCTTCCCCGTCCCTCCAATTGACATCCATGCTGCTCTGACCAGAACATCGATATTTACATCATCACATGACCTCCCGAAACGTTTGATGTTATCTGGGCTGATGAAGCATTTCTCCTGTGCTATGTAGCAGGGTCTTTCCTTTAGCAACTTAAAAATAAATATCATACTTCATAGAGATCTTTTATTCTATTGATATAAGATGCCTACACAACTTTGGGCAACGGAGAGCATCACAGATTATAAAACCATACTGTCACCTTTAATGGAATCTAGTTGCCTTTGTACCATCTGTAGCCTAAATCCAATCTTTCCTTTTGATTTATTTCCCAATATAAAGTCTGTTTTCTTGATCTAATACTACTTAGGGCTTCATTTCCTTTATATTTTGCATGCAGTCTCCTAAATATCTCCTCAAGGTAAGACACACAGTTACTTTATTGAGAACAATAATCTTTCTGCAACTATTTTTAGAGTTACAAAGAGTGGGCTTAAGCTTTGGAAATAATCAGTGAAGCGAAGTCAAGTAAGTGTAGCCCATGTGCTGACAATAGCATTATTTGGTTCAAACGTTCATAGTTTATACAAATGCCACCTGTTCAGAGCAGATGGTAAACTGCCACAGAGCAAGTGAGCACTAAAATGTTGTTAATGCTCCAGGCAAGCTGTGTGCTGGTTGTTTTGTGTAATTTTGTTGAGCTGTAATAGAGCAACACAATCTGCCTGTGATTGGTAACCCTGGTTATTGTCATTCACAAATTCTGGTTTGATTTTCATAAGAACAGCTGTATCGACAGTATAATTGAGATGTGTGAGGAACAATATACTTGCTGTCCATATCTACCCTCTATTGGTGGTCTGTCAGGGTTCCTTTCCCACTCTGAACTCTGGGGTACAGATGTGGGGACCCTCATGAAAGACCCCCTATGCTTATTTCTACCAGCTTAGGTTAAAACTTTCCCAAGACACAAAATTCCCCATATCTGGGATTCAGTATGCTGCCACCACCAAGCGATTTAACAAAGAATCAGGGAAGAGACCACTTGGAGATATCTTCCCACCCAAAAAAAGCTTTCTTGGGGAAGGCTTGAGAATAAACAAGATGAGCACAGACCAGCCTTGGGTTTTTAGGACCCAAAAAACCCAATCAGATTCTTAAAAAACAGAACTTTATTAGAAGAACAAAAAAAAGATAAAAGAACAACTCTGTAAGATTAGAATGGAAGATAATCTTACAGGCAGTCAAATTCAAAATATAGAGGATTCCTCTAGGCAAAACTTTAAGTTACAAAAAGAAGCAAAAAACCAGGAATACACATTCCCTCCAGCACAGCGAATTTCACAAGCCAAAAACAAAAGAAAATCTAATGCATATTTTAGCTAGATTACTTACTAACTCTATAGGAGTTGGATTGCTTGCTTTCTTGATCTGTCCCTGGCAGAGGCATCACACAGACACCCCCTCCCCCCGCTCCCAGATTTGAAGTATCTTGTCCCCTTATTGGTCATTTTGGTCAGGCGCCAGCCAGATTACTTGAGCTTCTTAACCCTTTACAGGTAAGAGGATTTTACAGTACTGTATCAGAGCTTCTTAGCCCCTTCCCTTTATATTTATGACATGTTCTTTGCCGAAATGCCAAGAAGGTGGTATTTTGAGCAATGGCAGTTCAGCTGGGTGAAACATAGAATTGCTGGGCATCTAAACAGTCACAGAGGGTAATTACAGTAAAAGCTGTGTTATCCGGCACTTTACCAACCAGAAAGCTCTAGAAACCACCATTTCTGATATCTCCCAATACAAATCTTCAATAGGGTTGCAAAGTGTCCAGATCCAGGCAGCGCTCACTTTGGGCAGCTCCCAGCAAGCATATCCCTGCTGCTCCTAGGCAGAGGCATGGCCAGGCGGGTCTGCGCACTGCCCTTGCCCTGAGCACTGGGTGTGCAGCTCCCATTGGTCGAGAACCACGGCCAATGGGAGCTGCAGGGGCGGCGCCTGCATGCAGAGGCAGCATGCAGAGCCACCTGGCTGCATCTCTGCCTAGGAGCAGCAGGGATAGGTTGCCCCTTGCAGGAAGCCACCCAAGGTGAGCACTGCCTGGATCCAGCACCCCAAAACCCCTTCCGCACCCTAATCCCCTGCCCCAAGCCTCTTCGTACTCCCAAACTCCCGCCCAGAGCCCGTGCCCCACGCCCCCTCCTGTGCCCCAGCCCTGAGTCCCCTCCTACACCCAAACTCCCTCCCTCCATTGGTAAGTATAGCTCTTAGTTAACCAGAATTTTTGACTAACCAGCACCCCCCATTTCCCCAACATGTTGGATAACAAAGCTTTTACTGTAATAGCAATCCTAACAGTGGGTAGGCAAATACTTCTGTGTTCTGTGCCCTCATTATCTCTTACATACTATTTAATTAACTGAGAGTGGTAATTTTTCTGTGCATTACAAAAACAGGGCAGCTGTTTTACAGTTTACTTCCTGACCTTCATCAACGTTTCATTTTATTTACAGGAAGCGTTAAAAACAGTCAGATTTTTTCCTCCCAGTGGTTTGGGGCAGGAACTCTTTTTTAAAATCAGTTTCCAAGGTAAATGTATTTTAGTGACTGCTCCATGGGCCCAGAGCTGTGTTACCACGCAGAGAATCCAAAACTGAGACCCTGACTCGGTGAGAAGTGTTTAGCAATCTGTGATGATTTAGTAAAAGGCTGGATTAACAGGATTGGAGGGAGTCCTTGTCCTGGCAGGAAGATATAGGTGAAGTACAGTTTGTTGCTTAAGGAAGGGGGTTGAGACAAGACCCAGCTATCAGACAGGAGTAATCAATGTTGGGGTGAAAGAGATGTCACCTATACTTAATGGGTCCATTGAAAATCAGCAATTGCCTGGTCATTTCTATTATACCCTATAGTTATACCTGTAAGCGTGAGTCCTTGCCTGTGGTTAGGGGAAAACAGGATGTTAAACTGTATTTCACTGAAATTCTAACGTCTTCTATAAACTAAAATGCTTTGGCATTTTAGTTTATAGAAGAGAAGAGTAGTACCTATGTGGATTTTTTATGTAAAGCCTTTCATACATGAGCTGTCTCAAAGCACATTACAAGGTAGCCCCGCAACCTGAAGCAAATACTCACCAACAACCACATACCACACAACAGAACCACTAACCCAGGAACTTATCCTTGCAACAAAGCCCGTTGCCAATTGTGCCCACATATCTATTCAGGGGACACCATCACAGGGCCTAATAACATCAGCCACACTATCAGAGGCTCATTCACCTGCACATCCACCAATGTGATATATGCCATCATGTGCCAGCAATGCCCCTCTGCCATGTACATTGGTCAAACTGGACAGTCTCTACATAAAAGAATAAATGGACACAAATCAGATGTCAAGAATTATAACATTCATAAACCAGTCGGAGAACACTTCAGTCTCTCTGGTCACGCAATCACAGACATGAAGGTCGCTATCTTAAAACAAAAAAACTTCAAATCCAGACTCCAGCGAGAAACTGCTGAATTGGAATTCATTTGCAAATTGGATACTATTAATTTAGGCTTAAATAGAGACTGGGAGTGGCTAAGTCATTATGCAAGGTAGCCTGTTTCCTCTTGTTTTTTTCTACCCCCCCCCCCAGATGTTCTGGTTTAACTTGGATTTAAACTTGGAGAGTGGTCAGTTTAGATGAGCTATTACCAGCAGGAGAGTGAGTTTGTGTGTGTATGGGGGTGGGGGGGGATGTGAGAAAACCTGGATTTGTGCAGGAAATAGCCCGACTTGATTATGTAAAGAGTTGTCACTTTGGATGGGCTAGCACCAGCAGGAGAGTGAATTTGTGTGGGGGGGGTGGAGGGTGAGAAAACCTGGATTTGTGCTGGAAATGGCCCACCTGATGATCACTTTAGATAAGCTATTACCAGCAGGACAGTGGGGTGGGAGGAGGTATTGTTTCATATTCTCTGTGTATATATAAAGTCTGCTACAGTTTCCACGGTATGCATCTGATGAAGTGAGCTGTAGCTCACGAAAGCTCATGCTCAAATAAATTGGTTAGTCTCTAAGGTGCCACAAGTACTCCTTTTCAAATTGGATACTGGTAATACAAAGGCAAACATGGCAGCTGTTATGTGGTCTGTTATACCACATAAACAACTTTGAAAATAAGAAAAATTTTAGTGAAAGAAGTAATGCTGGCTGGTACACTGAGCTTATACCATATGCTTCACTAAGTGCTAGGAGGTCTTTAACATCTAAATAGACAGTCAGCAGATTTGGGCAGAATGGATCTTTGTTTTTAAAGGATGGCACTTCAGCCTGCATTGCACTGTCGGGAAAGAGTATATGAGTGGAAATCTTGGGGTGGAACTGTAACAGTAATGGGTAAAAATAATAATAAAACAATAATAAAAAATAATAAAATGCTTCAATACATAGCTTGGAACCAAAGAACTTATTGTACTAATTTTTCTTTTCTTCTTTCAAGATGTTCAAAATCGTTAGTGTTTGGTTATTTTTTAAAAATATTTTTTGTTTTTAAACCAACTTTAAGTAATTCATGGAAACATAAGAGATCTATTTTCAGAGTAGCAGCCGCATTAGTCTGTATCTGCAAAAAGAAAGGGAGGACTTGTGGCACCTAGAGACTAACAAATTTATTTGAGTATAAGCTTTCGTGAGCTACAGCTCACTTCATCGGATGCATTCAGTGGAAAATACAGTGGGGAGATTTATATACACAGAGAACATGAAACAATGGGTTTTACCATACACACTGTAACAAGAGTGATCAGGTAAGGTGAGCTATTACCAGCAGGAGAGCGGGGGGGGGGGGAGGGCGAGGAAGGGGGGACCTTTTGTAGTGATAATCAAGGTGGGCCATTTCCAGCAGTTGACAAGAACATCTGAGGTACAGTGGAGAGGGGATAAACATGGGGAAATAGTTTTACTTTGTGTAATGACCCATCCACTCCCAGTCTTATTCAAGCCTAAGTTAATTGTATCCAGCTTGCAAATTAATTCCAATTCAGCAGTCTCTCGTTGGAGTCTGTTTTTGAAGTCTTTTTGTTGAAGAATTGCCACTTTTAGGTCTGTAATCGAGTGCCCAAATAGATTGAAGTGTTCTCCGACTGGTTTTTGAATGTTATAATTCTTGACGTCTGATTTGTGTCCATTTATTCTTTTACGTAGAGACTGTCCAGTTTCGCCAATGTACATGGCAGAGGGGCATTGCTGGCACATATCACATTGGTAGATGTGCAGGTGAATGAGCCTCTGATAGTGTGGCTGATGTGATTAGGCCCTGTGATGGTGTCCCCTGAATAGATATGTGGACACAGTTGGCAACGGGCTTTGTTGCAAGGATAGGTTCCTGGGTTAGTGGTTTTGTTGTGTGGTGTGTGGTTGCTGGTGAGTATTTGCTTCAGGTTAGGGGACTGTCTGTAAGCAAGGACTGGCCTGTCTCCCAAGAGCTGTGAGAGTGATGGGTCGTCCTTCAGGATAGATTGTAGATCCTTGAGGATACGTTGGAGCGATTTTAGTTGGGGGTTGAAGGTAATGGCTAGTGGCATTCTGTTATTTTCTTTGTTGGGCCTGTCCTCAGTAGGTAACTTCTGGGTACTCTTCTGGCTCTGTCAGTCTGTTTGTTCATTTCAGTAGGTGGGTATTGTAGTTGTAAGAATGCTTGATAGAGATCTTGTAGGTGTTTGTCTCTGTCTGAGGGGTTGGAGCAAATGCAGTTGTATTGTAGAGCTTGGCTGTAGACAATGGATCATATGGTGTGGTCTGGGTGAAAGCTGGAGGCATATAGGTAGGCATAGCGGTCAGTAGGTTTTCGGTATAGGGTGGTGTTTATGTGACCATCGCTTATTAGCACTGTAGTGTCCAGGAAGTGGATCTCTTGGGAGGACTGGTCCAGGCTGAGGTTGATGGTGGGATAGAAATTGTTGAAATCATGGTGGAATTCCTCAAGTGCTTCTTTTCCGTGGGTCCAGATGATGAAGATGTCATCAGTGTAGTGCAAGTAGAGTAGGGGCATTAGGGGACGAGAGCTGAGGAAGCTTTGTTTTAAGTCAGCCATAAAAATGTTGGCATACTGTGGGGCCATGTGGGTACCCACAGCAGTGCCGCTGATTTGAAGGTATACATTGTCCCCAAATGTGAAATAGTTATGGGTGAGGACAAAGTCACAAAGTTCAGCCACCAGGTTTGCTGTGACATTATCGGGGATACTGTTCTTGACGCCTTGTAGTCCATCTTTGTGTGGAATGTTGGTGTAGAGGGCTTCTACATCCATAGTGGCTAGGATGGTGTTTTCAGGAAGATCACCGATGGATTGTAGTTTCCTCCGGAAGTCAGTGGTGTCTCAAAGATAGCTGGGAGTGCTGGTAGCTTAGGGCCTGAGGAGGGAGTCTACACAGCCAGACAATCCTGCTGTCAGGGTGCCAATGCCTGAGATGATGGGGTGTCCAGGATTTCCAGGTTTATGGATCTTGGGTAGCAGAAAGAATACCCCTGGTTGGGGTTCCAGGGATGTGTCTGTGTGGATTTGTTCTTGTGGTTTTTCAGGGAGTTTCTTGAGCAAATGCTGTAGTTTCTTTTGGTAACCCTCAGTGGCATCAGAGGGTAATGGCTTGTAGAAAGTGGTGTTGGAGAGCTGCCGAGCAGCCTCTTGTTCATATTCCGACCTGTTCATGATGACGACAGTACCTCCTTTGTCAGCCTTTTTGATTATGATGTCAGAGTTGTTTCTGAGGCTGCAGATGGCATTGTTTTCTGCACGGCTGAGGTTATGGGGCAAGTGATGCTGCTTTTCCACAATTTCAGCCCGTGCACATCGGCGGAAGCACTCTATATAGAAGTCCAGTCCCTCCCCACCCCGCTGTACCTCAGACGTTCTTGTCAACTGCTGGAAATGGCCCACCTTGATTATCATTACAAAAAGATTCCCCCCCCCCCGCCCCCCTCTCCTGCTGGTAATAGCTCACCTTAAGTGATCACTCTCATTACAGTGTGTATGGTAACACCCATTGTTTCATGTTCTCTGTGTATATAAATCTCCCCACTGTATTTTCCACTGCATGCATCCAATGAAGTGTGCTGTAGCTCATGAAAGCTTATGCTCAAATAAATTTGTTGGTCTCTAAGGTGCCACAAGTCCTCCTTTTCTTTTTATAAAAGATCTACAAATTCTTAGTAAATTTGCTGAATGGATTCCCAGTGTTTTTTCTGCTTTCTACTCACTACTTTAGTAATTTGGTGATTTGGTACTTTGTTTCTATACCGTAGTGTAGTGTTCACTTGAGAGGTGCCAATGATACCCTGTGGAGAACAAGTAGCCTGCACATTCTTCAGATGGTCACTGTTTTATATTCTCTCAGGATAGAGAAGGGCAGAAGACACCACCTTTTGTTTCTGCAATGCTGTGTGGGTCAGATTTTAGTTTTGTACAACCCAAGCAAGGGGTTGCGTGGATCTGAGTTCCATTTTACCTGAATTATTAATATTTCAGTGGTTCAGATCAGAAGATTTGGGCTTGCAAAACCCAAATCCAAACCATGGTGAATCGGATCCAAGTTCCATTGCATCAGAGTGGACAATGCTCAAAGAGGGGATGGGGATAAAAGATTATTGTCTGGGCTCTTCTCTGTTCTGAAGGGCAATGTTGACAAATGGATTAACAAGACTGAAATTCTGCAGGCCAAGACCTGAGAGCTGCAGAGCCCCCACAATTCCTACTGAAGTCAGTAAGAATTGAGTGTTCAGCACCTCTTAGGGAACTTGCCATGTGTAAATATAGGTTTCTAATGAACCATTGAAAATGTATATATACACAAAAGAATGATCTTGACAAATATTGTACTTTGCTCTCAGATTTGGGATCCAAGAAGGTCTGTAAAACACCACTGATGTCTGAGTTTGTATTTCCAGATTGACACAATGGAGATGATGCGACACCCAGAGGAAACAACCAACATGAAGAGGCAAACCGTGGCTTCTTATTTTAGGGTATAAAATGTAAACTTTACAAAGTGCATTTTGATTACATGAACAGATGATTAATCTAGCATTTGTGCGGCGAAGTGAGAGCGGTGGATAAGAGCGTATCCCTCGTCCACTGTGATGCCTCACTAGACCTACAGAACTCTGACTCTTTTTCTTGCTCTTTCTCATCACTTGACCATGGTGCTTCTCAGAACTGGCCAAAAATATACTGGTACTAGGATCTAGGGCCTAGACAGTGACTTGCAGTCTATGACTTCATGATGAGCTGCAGTTGAATATTCTCCCTCTAAAACACTATGGGCCAAGAATTAAGGCCTGTTTAGCACCCAAAACTGAGGGTGCAGTTGTATTTGTGCATACAAATATTATAATTGCAATTATTCAATTGTCCTGGCATCTTTGCTTGTGCAAGTGGGCCTACTTTTTAAAAATACTGGCCGCATGTGTGTTAATAAATAAGTAAAGTCAATCCATTTTTGCAAGCACCATTACAGAAGATAAAGGTCGTCTGTCTGTCTGTAATAATTCTGTGATTGAGTTAACATAGACCGTGCAGGTGAATTTATTACAATCAGATTGGTACGGACGGGGTGAGGTGGTTATTAAGAGGGAGTCTGGTCAGAACACTCCTAAGACATGCTGATCCTGGGTTATTTTGTTGGTTTCATGTGGTCATTGTCGGCCAGCATCGCCTAGAGCAGCTCCCAAGCTACTGAAACCCAGCGCATATTGGAAGAAGTGTACACTACAGCACAGAACCAGGATCAGGGCACTTCTAGTGGAAGCTTTATGCCCCCGTGGCACACCCACCTGCCTGTGCTCTGTGGATTCTGGCAGTACCCAAGGATTTGGCCCAATATTTTTGCTCTTTTTACTGTTCACAGATATTTTGCAAACTGATCCTGATTTCAGTGAAGTATTTGTTGTTCAAAATTGTTTGCTGGATGATTTGGAGAAACAGTTTCCTCTGGGTTGTTTGGAAACTGTTCAATTGAACTGTTCACCATTAGAAGGAGTGATTGTTTATCTAAGCAATATGTTATTGTTTCTGCTCCCTGAATGGCTGATTGCAACTCTAAAGCAGGAACGTAATTAACTGTCCTCTTGCTCACAGCCAAATGCCAATACTGTTCATTCACAAATACACTTCTTTGCATGTAAACATAGGTATTTGCATAAAGGGCAGCTGTTTCTTAACCATTAATTAAGTAACATCAGGGGTGAAAGTAACTTAAGGGACTTACTGGTATGCAGGGCCAGGGTCCTGAAAAAGGAGGGTGGGGGGGCTCAGGTGGAAGGGGCCAGACCTTTAAATTCCCGGGACCTTTAAATCGCCACTGCTACCCCTGGGGCTCCAGTAGCAGCAGCCAGGAGCCCTGGGCCCTTTAAATCACTGCTAGAGCCCCATGGTAGCGGCAGCAGCAGTGGCAGCTGGAAGACCCGGGGCTCTGGAGGTGATTTAAAGGCCCTGGGGCTCTGGCCACTGCTGCTACCCCAGGGCTCCTGCAGCAGGGCTCTGGGGGTGATTTAAAGGGCCAGGGTCCTTTTAAATTGCCAGCCTGGGGAAGCTGCCCCCTGCCAGTATGGCCGGCTGTGTACCAGCTCTTGCTTATGTTAGGTTGCCCTCAGGCAAGTTGAGCCACAGTTCAATACATAATACAAAATGGAGTTCATCATCTGATAAAGACATACCCCACTCTTATAGTCCTCCAACACCACTCCAGCTTACTTTCACCTCTGAGTAACATCCATTCACAGGAATGTTTTCAAATAGTGACTAACAAGGAGGCAGGAACCTTATTAAGTTGTATATGGTATTTTTGAAAACCAAAAATGTTTTCCACTATTCCGCCAGCTCTTGATTGTATAGTTTAGATTAAGCTTCATAGTAAAGAAATTATTATATTTGATTTACTTCTAGACTATTAGTTACTTTTACTTCAAGCTCAATAATAATACCTTGTCTATGTATCCTGGGGTATGTAAGTCTGAGCACGTCAAACTCTCTAAAGGTTTTCTTTATTGGGACCTGATTTGGCAAGGTATTTGAAGTATGTGAGTGTAATTTTAAACATGTGAGTAGCTGCTGGGACTATATTTATTGCTGTCCCTGGAACTCTCAGTTGAAATTAGATACATGATCAAATACCTTGTGAATGGGGGCCAAGATGGCGCATCAGTATTGGAATCACTGGTATGAAATTGCCCTTTCCAAAAGCACTGCTTCTGTAGTTTGAAAGTCCAGAAATTTCATGACTGTGGGTGGGAGTTGTGCTGGAAGAGTTATAAGAGTGGGGTATGTCTTTATCAAATGCTGAACTCCATTTTGTATTATGTATTGAACTGTGGCTCAACTTGCCTGAGGGCAACTTAACTTTATGCTTTACAGACAGCTGCCCTGCCCAGAAAGGATACTTGACCCCTCATTAAAGAACTATCACTGAGAATCCATCAAGACTGAAAACTGGGGCCATTTAACTTTGATCATCTCTAAACTGTTGCCCCACACCTTGAAACAATATTTTTTTCTATATGGGGATTTGTGGGAATGGGGACAGTGAAGGCGGGGGCAGGGCAAGCATGGTCTGCAGGGGCTGAAGGTTTCAAAGTTAAGCACATGACATAGAAACAGAGACCCTACTTAAGAGCAGGGTGTTGCTCTGTACGGGGGGGCTGACCATCGTCATATGTAGGAAAGACTTGCAGGAGGATGAGAGCAGGAGTGAATGCCTAACCTGCACTACTGATAGGCCTCATACTCACAGAAGGGGTGAGATCAGGTCAGGGGAGAGTGCACCTCAGGAATTCTGTCTTCAAAGATCTGTAACTCTCAAATGTTTTAAGGGTAAAGTTTCTGTGGTTAAGAAGTTCCTTTGCTAAGCCTGTATTCCTTGCTGGTCTGCTATATTGTCCCTGAAGTGGTTGAACTAAAAGCCCAGACTGGCCACAGCCTAGATGGAACTCTGGGGAAGCATACGTAAGCAACTGAGGGGGGTCAGGAGGTCTGAGATACTGATTTTGAGGTCTAGACCAGCTGAGTGGCAGTACCTACATCCTAAAGAAGGTTGTCAAACAACAGGTTTGATCCTGGGAATGTGCCATGTAGACCCAGAGCTAGAAACAGTGACTAGACTCTATATAGATCAAATTGGCTTGGATTAGCATGGGATTCAGTGATTGGGTCCACTTGCGACAGATTGGTGACCAGAAAATGGGGTACTGAGCTAGGTTGTAACAGGGGTATCCACTTATATACAAGTACCCGTGAGTAGCAAATATTTTAATTACTTAAATATATTTTTCATTCTAGTACAATTTGGTATGTTGTTTGTAATATTGCTTGGCCAAATATGTTGGATGTTAGATTCGTCGAAATTTTGTAAAAATTGAATTTTTCAACAGAAAATGTCTAAATGGAAATTTGCAACAAAAATCAATTTTCATCAAAAGTTTTAGTGTGTTCCTCAAAAAACTAAAAAATTTCAGTTTCCAATAACTGTTAAAATAATTTAGGTTGTTTTGTGGCATCTGAAAACTGGGGGTAGGGTTGGGATTGGTTTTTGGATGTTCGGTGCTTAGGTAAAAATGAAAAAAAGTCAAAGAAAAGCTTGAATGAAAATGAAAAAAAAATTAATCAAAACATTTTATTAGAAAAAGAAATAATTTCCCAGCCTTTCTATGTGATATCTTCAGGCATGTACATATAGTTATGGATATTTATTGCTTCTTTAAAATAAGTGTACTGGGGTCTCTTGTCAATTGTATGGTTTTTTTGCTTTCATTGTTAGTATTCCTTGATGGATCTTTTATCCAAAATGGTGGTTGGACAACCTCACTTTGTCCGCTGCATTAAACCAAATGATGACCGAGAGGCACTGAAATTTTCCCAAGAAAGAGTTCTAATACAGCTACGGTACACAGGAATTCTAGAAACTGTCAAGATACGTCAACAAGGTTATTCTCACCGCATCCTCTTTGAAGAGTTTGTGAAAAGGTAAAACAGGTCTCTTTTGTAATATGATTCTTCCTTTAAGACTCCATTCAGTAGACTGTGCATTCTTGGACACACTGTGTGTTTTAATGCAGAAGATTCAGTAAATCTTGGATTGTACACTTAGGGCCTGATTGTGCTCCCAGTTACAACACTGAAAACCGGCATAACCCTGCTGAGGTCAATGAAGCTACACTGGTATAAAACCAGTGTGAGACCAGAATCAAGCTCTTAATGCTCTATACAAAAAAATATCCCCATCACGTGTCCCTGTAGTAGTGATGTGTAAATGAACACTTATATTACAAGTACAGGGAAATTAATCACCTTCAACCATTATAAAAAGACTATGCATATGGTTAGAAATGGATTAACACAAACCTTTATACAAAATCTCTCAGAGCAGCGTGTTCAGCCTTGTCTATACTACAAAGTTTTGTCAGCAAAAGCTGCCTTTTGCCGACAAAACAGGAGAGGTGTACATACTACAAAGTGATTTTTGGCTGCAAAACAAAACCACCTCAATAAGAGGCATAGCGCTTTTTGTGGCAAAGTTAAAGCAACAAAGCATCGGTGTAGACACTGTTTGTTTTGACAGAACTGGCTTCCACCAGTATCCCACAATACCTGCCATGACCACTCTGCTCACTGTTTTGATTTCTGCTGCCCTGCAGGCATGTGCCCCTCCCCTTACAAAGCTCCAAGTATCTGACAGCTGAGCCTTCTGCTCCCTTTGGGGAACAAAGAGCAAACCATTAGCCTGGAATGCTCCTGTTCTGCCCAGCACTAGGAACTGGGGGGGGCGGGGGGGAAGGAGGGGGGTCTGCTGTGCTGCTTTGACATTCCTCAGCATGGAGGGCTCACAGAGCTGCTTAGGATGCCGCTCAGGGCAGCTGAGGAGGCTGTGGGAGAACTCTGAGGGAATCACAGAACCGCAGGCAGGCAGACAGAGCGGGCTGTTTTGGGAGAGACTGCTGTGCTGAGCAGAGCTGGGGGCTGACGTGGGGGGTGTCCCCACTCCCTGCCTCCGGATAGGTCGGTCAGCCTGCTGTCTCCCCCACCCCAGACACACCACTCTCCTCTCCCTCCCCCACCCCACACTTCAGCTGAAAAGGGGGCTGGGGCTGACAATCTACTAGGATGGCCCTTGGACCATGGGATTGAGAAACCTGCATCATGTGACACTGCACCTGCCCCATGAGGCATTGCAAACTCTTCCCAAAGCACCCTGCAGCCAGTTGCACAGTGGGAAAGCTACCCACAATGCACTGCTCTCTGTGTTGATGCAAGACCAATTAGTGTGGATGCACTCTGCAGACACAAAGACCTAGACCTAGACACAGACTAACCCTCCCCCCCAGTTCCTAGTGGACATGCAACAGCGGTTTTGATTAAAGCGGCATAACTTTTGCCGACAAAACTTTGTAGTGAGACAAGGCCTCTGTCTCAAGCTGTCTGCACAGCACTAATCAAATAGTGGCAAAAAACTAACCACACCCCATCAGACATTTTTCACCATTGGTGATTTCTGCCACATGACAACATCGCAGTGGCGCTGCGGATATTGCACATTCAGCTAGATGAATGTAAAAGATGATTTATAAATGTTTTTGTGACTAAAAACATTGTTTGATTTGTAATGGGTTTTCCTACATAAGAAAGTTATAGCAGTCTGAGTTAAAGTGCGAATTTAAATTGAGATAACAATGTAACTCCCCATGTAGACTTAATCCTGTAGAAGAGCACCTTTTTGGCTTAGTTTATATCACTTTGGAAGGGGTTTAAGCTACACTGAAAAAGCCACTTCTTCAGGAATGAGGGCCTATTTTGGAATAAGAGTGTCCATATGGGGGGGTTATAATTATCTTGGTTTAACTATATTGGTGTAGTTATAGCTAGGACTTGTGAGCATTCTGACAGCCTCTGGATATTTGTGAAAATGTTTGTGTGTCCTGGAAGCATCATGAATTTTAACACAAGTGTTTATTGACCTGAACATTTGTACTGGAAGACCATAATTAATTATATGTAAATCAAACCTGGATGTCTTTCTAAAAGATGCTCAGACAGAAGTTATGGGCTTAATGCAGGAATCACTGGGTGAAATTCCATGGTCTGTGTTACGCAGGAGTCAGATTAAATGGTCCTAATGGTCCCTTCTAGCTTTAAAATTTCTGAATCTGTGAATTATTTGCTATTCATTATTCTCCTGTTTAAAATATTTGTCGTCTAGTCAGGGATCAGACCCAGTACCAGGTGACAACGTTAGCAGTGAATAGCTAAAGCAAAGACTTCAGAAATAATGCACAGTCTGAAAACTGATCATCCAGGCGATACAGAGAATACTCGTGAATAATGAATCCATTCAAAGAAAATCAGGATCAGGTCATAAACAATCACTAACTAATAGGGGCTAAATTTTTAATGACTTTTTATGCTAAGGGCATGTCCCCACTGGCACTTCGTCGGCAAAACTTTTGTTGTTCAGGGGTGTTAAAAACACACACACACACACACCCCGAACAACAAAAGTTTTACCAGCGAAAAGCGCTGATATGAGCAGCACTTTGTCAGCAGGAGCCACTGCTGCTCCTGGGGGGGGGGGGGGGGGGTGGAAGCTTTTTGTCAGCGGGAGAGCTCTCTCCTGCAGACAAACAGGATCTATACTGCATGGGTTTTAGCAGCACAGCTATAGTGGCACAGTCATGTTGCTAAAAGCTGTGTAGTGTAGCCATACATTTAATGAATATACAATAGGAAAATAGATTGTGAAGGAAGAGAGCAAGAAAAACATTTTTCAGGTAGGAAGAGTTCTCTGTTCACTGAAAACACTCTACTTTTCGAGTCTAATTCTTCACTCATTATACCAGTTTTACATTGGTGTAATTCCATTGATTTCACTGAGGTTATACCAGGCCCATCATCTTTGTAGTGTTTTATGAACATTAACTAATACTCAAAGCACTTTTGAAGAGAGATGAGGGAGACTTAGTGGGCTTGATTCTTCTCTCATTTACTCCTGAGTACATCAGGATTACCTCCCTTGAAATGTAGCTGTAAATTGAATGGAGAACAGGGCCAGTATTATCAGCAGGCTTCTCCTCTCTATAAATTTACAGTGTGAGAACACAACCTTGAAAAGCCATGGTAAGTCTAACACAGACTAACCCAGCTACCACTCTGAAACCTGTCATAATGTCAACTGCAGCTTTGCCATCAGTGCAGACAGGTGCAAGTCATGTTTAACATCTTGTCAAAGGGTCCTTAGGTTTGTGGTCTAACTTGATGTAATTTTCTAGTGAAGAGAATCTAAGTAGGGAAAATGAGGGCCAAGAGATAATTGATTTGCCCAACACCATAGGGGACTCAGTATTTGAGCTCAGAATACAGGCCAGAAATTTCTTGCTCCAGCCTTGTCTTTAGTCCACACCTTCCTACTTCTCTTAAAACAATTTCCATATCCCCTACTTAAAAAAAAAATTAGCAATGCTTAAAAAAATTCATAGGTAGAAGAGAAAGCAGGCTCCCTTAACTAGTCAAGTGATTTTAGGCATTGAAGTAGTTGAAGACATAAAAATATTTGAGAAAACAGGTCAAATGCTAAACAGATTGGCACTTCTTTTTTCATAATCAAAAAGCTATTAAGAACAAGAGTTTCAATATGTCAGTAAATCTGAGGATATCAAAGATTTTCTAAGCCAGCAAGTTAATTGGTATTTTGATCCTTTTGAGCAACATAACAACAAAATGGATGAGCCAGCAGTTTTTTTCCCCTTGATGTTATTAAACAAATAGGTGTGCTTCTTATCTTCCTGTTCAATAGTGGTGTTTTGTAAACTCTTAGCAGGAAATCTGAGGACAAAACAATCAAAGTCAGGGAGCAGAGCCATTCAGGGTTTATCAGGTGGAGGTAAATAAAAGATAAATTCTTGTTTAATGTTATTCTTTACTGTCTTCTGTTTTCAAGTAGAACAGATTATTTCACAGTGTTGCAGACCTGGAAGATAGTTTATTGGGTTTAAAAACAGATAGTGAAAAAGAGCTTAATTCTCACCCATTCACACACTGCTTCCTTAACCAAGGATACAACCATCTGTTATAAAATATATATCTGTGTATATCCCTTCCCTTGAAGTAGGAAAGAAGTAAACCACTAGCCCTATAAACACAACTGAATAGTATCACTTCCAAGATCCTCACAAGCACGTAAAAATGTGACATGAAGTGTTGTATAACAAGTTAGGGAGGAAAAAATAAAAGATAGCTGTGATTTTCTTTTTCATTACCTTATTCTCTGGCCTCCTATCCTTTGTTACAGAATGCCTCACTCCAAGATTGTGACAGGGCACACCACTGTTATGCTTTTCCTGTGAACATTGCCTCCTCAATGGCAGGATTATGATGATATTATTATTTATTATATAACAGGGATGGCCAATGCAGGTCCTGATTGTGCTAGACACTGTACAATATGCAAAAAGACATACTTTTTGTCTCAAAAAGTTTACAATCCATGGCCTTGGTCTTATGACTCCATCTACCCCAGCTGGCTCATGAACCTGTAGAGAGCACCATTGATGTTAATAGATTCCCTAGGGGCACAAGGATCCACCTACACAAATTCTGTGATAGGTTTGGGTTGGAGGGGTCCACGCGGGGAGAAGAGGAGTGGAAACCACTGCATTTAGTACTGCTCTGCCATTCTAAATCCCTAATATGTTTTCCTCAATATATGCAATCCTCAAGCCATCTCCCCTCAATGTGTGCTTTTGTCTAATCTCATTCATTAATTCAAGAACAGGTGAATGAAATTAAAAGGCAACACATTTACAACTGAGAAAAAGATATACTTATTTTTTTAAAAAATCTATCTGTGGAACTGATTTCCACAAGATATTTATAAGAAGCTAGGTCTGTAGAGCTCCTAGGCAGCTGACATCTCCAGGCTGCCAGCCCAGAGCAGCTATAATCAGCTTGCACTCCACTTCCCATGAACTGCTGTG